CGTGTCCTGGGCTGCATCAAAAGAATGGCCAGCAGGTGAAGGGAGGTGATTCTGCCTCTCTGCTCCGCTCTGGTGAGACTCCACCTGCAGTAGAGTGTTCAGTCCTGGGGACCCCAACACAAGAAGGACCTGGAGCTGCTGGAGCAAGTCCAGAGAAGGGCCACAAAGATGATCTAAGGGCCGGAGCACCTCTCCTCTGAAGACAGGCTGAGAGAGCTGGGGCTGTTCAGCCTGGAAAAGAGAATGCTCAGGGGAGACCTTATAGCACCTTCCAGTACCTGAAGGGGCTACAGGAAAGCTGAGACTTTTTATAAGGACTTTTTATAAGGGCATTTAGTGGGAAGACAAGGGATAATGGCTTTAAACTGGAAGAGGGGAGATTTAGATTAGAGACTAGGAATAAATTTCTTACTATGAGGGTGAAGAGACACTGGAACGTGTTGCCCAGGGAGTTGTGGATGGCTCCTCCCTGGAAATGTTCAGGGCCAGGTTGGATGAGGCCCTGACCAACTTGGTCTAGTGGGAGGTGTCCCTGCCCATGCAGGGGGTTGGAACTAGATGATCTTTGATGTCCCTTCCAACCCAAACCTTTCCATGATTCCATGATTCTATGATCTCTTCTACAGGAATCACACATCACACTTTCAGTTGCCATCACAGTGGGTGTGCTCTTAAGGCACACTGGAAATGACACACCAGAGCCCAGTGCTGAGTGGCAGATGGCATTAAATTGTGCCCCTGGGATTCACAGGAAAGAGTAGTGTCAGCAAGCAATTCCCTTTCCCTTCCTTCACTCCCTCATTGTTCCAGCTGGAGTTTAATATTTCATCAGACAAAACCAAAGCAGAAGCAACTGATCTACAGGTAATTTAGTGATTTTTCATAATGACTACACTTAGAACGCTTTGAGGCTTAGAAAATGGCATCTGCAAAGGGAAGCTGGAAGAGCTCTAATTTTTGTGGAAGAGAGTGGAGAGAACTAAGGAAAGTCTTCTCAAACAAAGAATAGTGAAAGATAGCTCTTCACAAAGGACATGAAAAAGAAGCCATCAAATTCATTTGCAAAAATGACAATTTAGAATGCTTAGAAAAGTCTTTACTGGCAAAGCTGCAAAGCCTTGGACTGAGGCTGCCTTTTATTTTCACAGCACTAATGGTAGAATGTGCCACAATACCGGTAGTGGTGCCATGGACCACAGCCCTAGGGATAAGAGTCTCAAGGGAGAGAGAAGGGAGTGAAACCTGGAAGCTAAAAACCTCATCTGACATCACCAAGTGCAAGGAAGGCTCTGAGGATTTATTTTTTTCCCCCTGTGCCATTCAGAATAGCACAAGCTACCAAATAAAGCCTTACCAAGTCCTTCAGTGACAGGACAAGAAGCAACATTTTCAAACTGGAAGAGAGTAGATTTAGATTAGACATAAAAAGAAATTATTTCCTGTGAGGGTGGTGAGACACTGGCACAGGTTGCCCAGAGATGTTGTGGTTGGCTCCTCCCTGGAACTGCTCAAGGCCAGGTTGGATGGGGCTTTCAGCAACCTGATCTAGTGGGACATGTCTCTTTATCTCCTCTCACTCTATTTTACACCAGATGGTGAAGGTCTTCTGTTCATTGCTAGCTTGAGCTGAGTAAAACCATTCCAGAAGTTCAAGAAAAAAAAAAACAACACATTGTCCTGGTTTGAGCCAGGATGAGGCCAATTTTCTTCTTTCTGATCTTTTTTTTTTTTTTTTTTTAATCTTCAGGGAACTCTCTTTTAAGCAGCACACTTGGTGAAATTAACAGGAAGTTTTTCAGCTGGTGGACTGGAATGTTTATAGCTATTGCTGAGAGACCAAGGACACTTTTCTCTGCTTGTTGAGTCTGCTGCTTCAGACACTAGAGGAGCAGAAGAGTCATATCTGCAAACCTCCTGTAGGGAGGAGTGAGCTACCCAGGTGATCTAAAATTGGCCAGATGGAATATTCCAGACCACTGCATCATTCTCGGTATAAATTCAGGGATCACAGATTTCAAGCTCTTTTCCATCCATGTCTGGCATCAAGGGAGGACTCAGTCTGTTCATCTCCTTTGATCCCCAGGCTTGTGAACTCCTGACAACTCTCACACAGAGCTCACAACTCTCCCCTCAGCTCCTGTCTGCTCTGCCCTCTCTCCAGCAGCTCCAGGACCACCTTGGGACTCTCCGCAGCTTGTGGGGCAGGTATATTTGTACATATTTTCTGTTATCACTACTATTACATTGAAACTGTCTAGTTTGGTTTTCCATCTGGAAGCCTCTCTCCTTTCCCTATGAAGGTGGGAGGTGGGAGGGGACAGAGAGCACCATTCACTTGTCTGATGGTCGATGCTGAGCTAAACTGCAACACAAATACAAAATAACAGAGGTTCAAAATGGTTTGTCCAACATTTACAAAACCTGTGACAAAACAAAGGTGAGAAGAAGATGGCCTTGGCTCCCTGACCTCCTCTTTTCACACCATCCCTTTCCTTAGTGTCCTGCCTCTGAGTCTCTTCTTCCTCCTGCTGCATCCCCACACGGACCCTCCCCTCTCAGCTCCCTCCTCACTGCTCTTCTCCAGCAAACACTTGCTGCTAGAAACTGCACATCAACACTGACTGTTCTGCTTCTGACTGAGGGATGCAAATATAGCACCAGATTTGTTTCTTTATCCCTTGTCCATATGTGCACAGGCTTATTTTTCCTCTCCTGTGGAAATATTTTTGTATCTGCAGAAATGTTTAGATAGGTACAAAGTGGTAAGGGTGGTTCCAAGGGGCTATGAGGGAAGGGAAGGAAAAAGGGAAGGGAAGAGGGCAAGGCAGGGAACGGGCAGGGCAGGGCAGCATCTCTTGCAAACGTTAAGGGAGGAAATGGGACTTGGCTTAAGGGGTCAAAGCAGGCAGGAGGAAAGGTTTCATTCTGTGTATCAGTAATACAAAGTACCCTGACTTCATGGGGCCTTGATAAAAGGTTGTAAAATAGCACTGGATTCAAAGTGAGAGCCTGTTAGCACCTTGGGAAAGGGCAGGCAAACTGCCTGGGGTGGCAGGCATTTCAGTCTCTAAATACTCAGGTGTGAAAGACCTGCACAAGGCTTACAATTATTTCAGAAATGTAAGTTTATTAGAGGACACTGGAAAAAGGATTTTCTTTCTTTGCTTGTTTCCATTTATAGCAGAAGGCTTTTCTTACTTCACTGCTGGCTACAGCAAGTTGAATGGGCCACCTGGTGTGATATTCCAGCTACTTTCCACAGCACAGGGAGAGTTATTGCTTTCCTGTGCAATGCAAGGTACAGATTTTGAAATGCCCATTTTTTTTTCACTATTCAAAATCAGATTCTCTTGTTCTAAGAACATTAAGTGATGCAAACTACTCCAGACAGCTGCAATCACATGAATTTTCTTGGCCATCCCAAGAAGGATACGTCTCACTTGTCTTTAAATGCACCAAAACTGCAATCACTAGAGGATGTCTTACAGAGAAATGTTCCACTTGCTATCAGAGATACCATCTGTTCTCTCAAAGCAGTTCATTTACTAACTGCTTCCAGAGAGTTAATGCTTTAGTTGGCATGACATGTCCCAAATGTCTGATCTGAGAAGTACCCAGGTGCATTACAGGATAAGAGAGTGACATTCAAAGGCAAATAAAAATCTTAAACTGTGGGATCCTTCAGCTGTCACTTGGCAATAATGCACGTATGCTCTGATCAAAATGTCTTAGTCCAAACACAGAGCAGTGTTTAATTACCCATTTTCCAACTGTGGATGGCACGTCCAACATTCTCCAAAGTAGCCTTTTGGGGATTCTTTCTCTATTTGAAGAAAAGCTTTCTGAATATTCCTGACTTGATATTAGGAAAAAAAAAATTAAAAAATAATCTGTGTGATTTAGCCCTGACCTGACAGGTTGGTGTTTGCTATCTACTTATGCAAAGAATAGGCACCCATTTTTCTTCAACTCTACCTTAGAAAAAGTGCCTGTGATGTAAGTTACTCCTCTGTTTATCAGTGTCCATCTTACCCTCCACTTCTCTGAGGGTATTTCCACCAAAAAAAGGATTTGTAAAATATATCTGTTTATTCATCCTGAACACATCTTGACTTTTCAGACCCCAGTTCAGAAGGGATGTCCTCCTACTCAGTTGCACTGGATCTAAGTCAGCAACCTAAAGGTCTACGTCTCGATCCCTTCCACATTGCCACAAAGAGAGTTAGCAAAGGAGGAGGGAGGCCTGATGTGATTAGACTGTTGCTCTAGTGTGTAAGTACCAGCAAAACACACACACAGCCCCAGTGGTAAAAATACTTAGTCACACAGATAAACAGCAACACACATGCAGAGAATTCCATCCTGCAAGATGAACCAAAGTCAAATTGACAAAGAAAGTTCCTTCCAGGGAAGAGTTGGCTTTCTGCCCTTTAGGGGCTCAACTCCCTTATCATCAGCCTGCATCAAACATGCAGGTCTTTCATTCTGTCTCCTGCAGAACCTCCCTCTTGGTTTTATCACACATGGTTGTACAGGCCCTAAGTAGACCAGGACTCCTCATCTTAGCCTGGAGAAGAGAAGACTCAGGGGGGATCTTATCACTCTCTGCAACTACCTGAAGGGAGGTTGTGGTCAGATGGGTGTTGGGCTCTTCTCCCAGGCAACTAGTGACACGACAAGAGGGCATGGCCTGAAGCTGCACCAAGGGAGGTTTAGGTTGGATATTAGGAAGCACTTCTTCACAGAAGGGTGATCAGACATTGGAATGGACTGCCCAGGAAAGTGGTGTAGTCACCATCCTTGGAGGTTTTTAAGGAAAGACTGAATGTGGCACTTAGTGCCATGGTCTAGCTGATGTGGTGGTGTTAGGTCATGGGTTGGACTTGATGATCTCAGAGGTATTTTTCAGCCTCAATAATTCTGTGATTCTGTAATCTTCCTTCCATTTTAGCTCTAGCTGAGTCTATATGTGGTTTGTATGGATTTTCTGGGACCCCTACTCAGCTCACAGCTACTATTGGCTCAACTGCAGAGATGTCTGTCTTTCCTGACTGGAGGTTGGAGGCTGATGGAAGGACATGGGAGCCCTGCAACCTCTTAAAGTTGCCATTTTCTGGCCAAGCCAATCGGTAGGATGGGACTGTGGAGGGAAGCATCTGTTCTGTGGGCCCAGGAGGCTTTCTGCACATGTTGAGCAAAGCCTTCAGCTCGGATCGGAAGCTGTCGTTGAGCCAGCAGTAGATGAAGGGGTTGTAGCAGGTGCTGCTCATAGCGAACCAGTGAAAGGCAAAGTACAGGGCATTGTTGGTGTAGATGGTCTGGCTGGAGAGGAGGACGACATAACAGTTCAAGGGGAACCAGCAGACTGCAAAAAGGATGACAACAAGCATCAGCATCTTTATGGTCTTCTTATTCTTCTTGCGAAGGGCCACGTACTGCTCAGTGGTGACGTCCCCGATGACGTTGCGCAGCCAGAGCTTCTTGGCCACCTTCACATAGGCAGCAGAGATGATCAGAAGGGGCAGGACATAGAGCAAAATGAAGGTTGTTAAGTCAAGGTACTTCCAGAAGAGGTCAGCAGGCTCAGGGAAATCCAGCAGGCACAGGCACCGGGTGACCTCCTCACTGCGGGTGGAGACACCAAACAGGGGGTGAGGGTGCAGGTGGCTGAGCACATCAGAAACAAGGAGGTAGGTGGGAGAAGGCTCCTAACACAGAGCCTGGAGGCAGACAGACCCTTTGTTTATGCACATGTGGTGCAGTTAAATGGAGCTCTGCTGCCCAGAGATATGAGCCATGGAGCAGCCTGAGAGCAAAGTGGTGATTATTTCTCATGGGCATTCATGATTTTATGATAATTTTATGAATTTCATCAATTACAGAATTTCCAGCTGCACAGAAGCAGGTTTTCATTCTCTGTCCTTTTCAAATAGAAACACAGTCTTTGCATATATTAAGGACCTTTCCCTCATTAAAGCACTTTCCAAATATCAAGGTTCATTACAGCATTTTACGGAAACAAGCAGCTGAAGCAGTTTTTTTTCTACTTTCCCATGACTGAAGAGTAGATTAAAACCTTTTAGATTTTTCCCCATTTTTGGTCTGCCCAAACAGGTCAGATTGGTCCATCGTGTAAAATGCCAGTGTGCAGGCACAGAGAGCCCAGGCCAGATCCTCTAATTTCTTAGCTTATTTCATGTGATTAGTATGACAGAATAAAGATAAAATAATTAAAAATAGAAACAGGGAGAGTATATGAGCCATTGCAAAAGAAATATATAATGAAAAATTACAGACCAGATCCATATTTGGCTAACATAGACATAAGCTCAGGGCCTTTAGTAGAAGATGCTGAAGTATAACCACTGAGAGCCTGGCCTCCAGGGATGCTGTGGAGGAAAACAAAGCACGTTCTTACCTGTATTTGTAAATAAAGAGTTTTTGGTAGATAGCATGTGGCAGGGAAAAACAAGTTGCCATGATCCAGATTGCAGAGATGTAGATAACACCTTTTGTAGTAGATATGCGAGGTTTCAGAGGGTGCATTATAACCTGTGCAAAATAAACCAATATTCAGGCTTATGTCATTTCAGGAAATAATTATGTAATTTTTAATGCAATCTTCCAGCCTTAAATCTCTTACTTAAAGTGGAAATGTATGATGCAGGCACTACTGTCTTCACCCAGCTCCCATTGACTGTAGGCTGTACATGAAAGCATGTTTTTTTCCTCCATGGAGATAGATAAAGTCAGACCCAGTTCTACCCTCTCATTTCAAGATTTGCATCGAGGTGGAGAGAGCCAGATACCACTAGTGGGTCTTGCAGAACTGTTCATCTCCAGGTTCAATTTACTTAATGAAAGAAAATAGTCTTAGACTCTTCAGTACTGGTGACCCAAAGAGCCACGGGTTTGGGATTTGACCAGACCTCCCTGGGGGGTCTTCTGAGAACCAGTGTATTTTCTGGAGACTTAGAAGATTTCTAGCAGAAAATGCCAACTCTACTAGAGTGTTTTGCATAGTTGTTGGGTGAATCAAAGCTGATAATGCCCCATTGTCCCCATTTTTTAACCCATTATTAACAGCAAGCCACAGCTCTGCTTGTGACCAACACCAGTATGGTACAGTCAGCTCTTCAGTATTCAGGGAAACAAGGAGTGAGACATCCCACAGCAGAGGGAGACAGAGCTGCAGAAGCTGACCAGAATATCCCAGCATCCATGATGCTGTTCCTCCATGGGCCAGACAAACCACCCTGGCAGAGGGTTACATTAATTTTTATCAGGATCTTGGACTTTCTCCTTATTTGAGAGCTACTGGATTACCCACAGCAGAAAAGATCCCATTCCCCAGTTGGAAATGATCACAAGGTGATGGACACCTCCCTTCTCCCACCTTGCTGGCAGGCTTGAAACTAGTCTTTCCATTTGACAGTAAGGACTGCTCTCTCACCCTGTCATCTCATCATGCATCTTACATTAATCTGGGAGCTGAGAAGGAAAGAACTTGGGATCATCCCTTCTCACTTTAATTATACCTCCCCAAGCTTTCCATCTGTCTGCTTCAGAGAGCTCTCACCTGGTGTCTGTCCACAGCAATGGCTGTGAGGGTCAAGGCAGAGACGTGGAGGGAGCAGTACTGTGCAAACCTACTGACGTGGCACATCCCTTTCCCAAATATCCAGCTGCTGTTCACAAAACGAGCCTAAAACCAGAATACCATTAGTTTTGTGCACCCACACACACCTGCACATGCTTATAGATACCTGAGATACCTCTGGCACATAATTTGTGCTAAGTAGAAGATACCTTTAAGATTACACGTTCTTGGTATAGTTGTATTGAGCACTGAAGAGGCAGACTGGTGCTGCTGAGTGTCCTGGCAATATATTCCAAGACATTACATCACCACGATACCAAAGGTATTTTCTATGGTTTATTCACAGTGTGTTCTTCTGTGTTCTAACTATTGAGTCAATACATTCATTTTTCCCTTTTAAGCCCTCCTTACAGGACTGAGCTGACCTGTACACCTTACCTTACTTCAAAGCAAACTACAGCTTTTCATCACAACTTGAAAAACAATGGTAAGAATTACATTTTTTTCTTCAAGATGTTCAGAGTATTACCTGGGAAATAGAAAAGGAGGGGGGGGGCGGAGGGGGAAACACAACCAAAAACAACCAACAAATACTACCAAGTGCTAAGTAACCACTGTGATGTTATCATGGTTGAAGTGCTGTCAGGGCCACTTTTTACAAGTGGGTAATTTCAGTTCTTAAAAAAGGTAACAGGAATTAGAGGAGAAAAAGGTGTGTGGAGTTTTCCAAAGAATACTCCAATCACTGTAATTAGGACCGGACATTCAAGCACTGCCTACAGCAAAGAAAAGGTCACTGAAGTGACTGCTTGTCCCTCTGCCCCAGCCTTACCAGCGTGAACGGCGTGTTTAGGAGCGTGATCAGGATGTCAGCCACGGCCAGGTTCACGATGAACAAGCTGGTGGCAGAGTGCATGCGCTTGGTCTTGATGACAACGTGACAGACCAGGACGTTGCCAAAGAGGGAGAAGACGATGATGAAGGAGTATGCCACGACAAGCAGGGCTTTCACCGTGAGGCTCTGTGACTCGGCTCCATACCGGCTCCTGCCCACGAAGCTCTGCCAGTCTGCCAGGCTGTCGTTATCCCAGAAAAAGAAACCTGAGATGTTTGGGATTACAAAAGACTCCTCCAGACTCCCATTGAGAGGACGTTGCCAAAGAGGGAGAAGACGATGATGAAGGAGTATGCCACGACAAGCAGGGCTTTCACCGTGAGGCTCTGTGACTCGGCTCCATACCGGCTCCTGCCCACGAAGCTCTGCCAGTCTGCCAGGCTGTCGTTATCCCAGAAAAAGAAACCTGAGATGTTTGGGATTACAAAAGACTCCTCCAGACTCCCATTGAGCTGCAACTTTCCTGGAGTCACGAAGGCGTTAATCAAGTCAGGGAGGCAAAGCCAGACAAA